CAAGTTTTATGGTCCAAGGTTAAATGCTTTGAAAATGAAGCTGAAAAGCAAGAAAAGAGCCGAGGAAGAAGGCAGAAAGACACAAAACTTGGTGACTTTTGTCTGGGATTTTTGTGTTTTTTTTCTATTTTGTTGTTTTCCCATTTTTTTCGGCGGTGGCGGGGTGTTTCATTTGATTTGCAGTGCATATTAAAGCAATTTGTGGGATTATTTACTATTGTAATCAACGCGCCGCTCCGGTTGTGTTTACTCATCAGCAGTACCAAACAACGTCTCCAAAATTGTTATTATTTCTGTCTGAAGCACCCTCTGTTTTTTGGTCAACTCATTTTCAAGTACAAGTTACGCTTCTCCGAAAATAATGCACTTTTGCCCTTAGGCTGGAATTTTTTGTCACTAATCTGATAGGCATGAAAATTGCCCCCATTTAATTGGGATGTATCAATAATAAAAAATCCATTCCTTACGTATTTCTTAGCCTCAGAATGGGGCTCTTAGAAATCTGTGCCCTATTACCCCGACTTCTTCTGCCTTACACCTTTTTTTTTATTACCGACACACACTCGCTCACAATTAATTAAAGCTCTCATTGCATTCAAGGTTATCTTTGGAAGCGCTATGTTGTTCAGTTGGTTAATTTACAGCTTTAAATTAGTGTAGTTTACTTTCAAAACACTTTACTTTTGCTTTCAAAATATGCGTTGCTGTTGTTGCAAATGGGTGGGGTAATCATTAAGTTGTTTAAGTAGATTTTCTGCGCCGTTAAGGTTTTGATCTCGACAAAATGCCCCGTCCATACCAGTATAGTATATTTGTATGTATATAAACTGTGTCTAGAGAAAGAGAACTAGAGCCGCCGAGTTGCAGAAGCCCGATGAGATTGAGATGGCAGTTCGATAGGATAGATGATTGGCAGCTTGGCCCGATCGAAAGGTGTGGCCAGGGCATTGTGATTGATCTCGATCACATTTAGAATGTGATTTAAATTGATGATCTGATCTCATCGGTGGCTCTTGGGCTTTTGTTGGTGCGATTAAAGGGTGGGGTACGCGTAATAATAGAAGTCGCTTAAAGAATGGATGTGATTAGGTGATTAAGAAATAATGTATGTGCAATAAAAGTTTATTTAAGAAAAGGAAAAATAAACTATTTGCTAGATGAATTAATTTAAGACTACTTTGAGTAAGAGGAAAGGTTGCGTGGAGATTCTTAGAATGTTGATCTTTTGGTAAAATTTATTTTGAAATTAGAAATATAATTAGGTTATATTTTTCCATAATATCTATATAAACAACTTTATGTTTATGGTAGAAAAAAGCTAATCTAAATAGTTTAAAAATTGTTCGCTTCATCCTTTCCCGTTTTCAAACAATATCTACTGTTTCTGTAAATATAAATCTATTAAGCTAATAAACTTTGTTAAACTTTGTTCGATGCGATCATTTTCTCGACCTTTCTCCGTTCCCAACAACTGCCTTTAGATCAGAGCAAACTCGATAGTTCACTATCTCCCCCCTATGCATATATTATAAGTACTAATAGCATATCTGGAGCTATTTAGCATTCGTCGTTTGTGTTTGTGTCTGTATTTGTTGTTATTTTTATTTTTGCCAAGGCGATCCATTTAAGCTTTGGCCTGTCGCTCCAATTAAAATACAACTCATCTCCTGGGCCGCATTTGCAAATTGTTGCATTGCAAATTGCGCCTTACATAAGTCAGGGCGAGGCATCTATATAAAACGCTGTTATTGAGTTGTCTATGGTCTTGGATTTGGTCGCCAATCTGGCACTGCACTGTAAGAAATGCAGGTAATTTAAGGCTATATGCACAAAGTCTTAATAGTTGAATTTTATATTTAGATATAAAGGACATTTGTATAGTAAAGTATGTCAATAAAGCCATGTATGCATTTAAGATTACTTGATTAAATAATTTACTATCAGAAATATATTTTTTTCGAGTGAGCTCTAGTACTCCTTTTTTCCCGATTTTTCTTTGCTTTTCATTTAATCGATTTGCGTATTTCGGGCAGCGGTAATGGCTCGACAAACTTTCATTGTCCCCGCCACTTTTCCCCCGATTTGAATGTGGATTAAGTGTATTCCGAGCCAAGACTTTGTATCGCCTAAAGTGATTTGTTTTTCAGATTGCGCCGCTCTGCGGTTATCGAAGTTACCGTCATCGTCGTCTTCGAAAAGCCAACGAAAATAGAGTTTAAATTGAAAAATACAAGTAGACGAGGAGTGTGAGAGGGAGGGAGAGGGCCTGAGGTGGCCAGAAAGAGAGGGCAGCTAAAATCAGCGCACATTCCGGCCGCAGCAAAATGTGTAACGCAATCAAAGCCATCGCTTCCGGTTTAAGGCGCAATTAACTGCCTTGGATTACGCTCTTGCCAGTGGGCAACCCACTCCGTCCCATCAAATCTTGAACCCCGCCTCCCCCCTCCTTGATTCCAATTCCCATTGCAACCGACGGTTGGGGGCTTTGTAGTCCCAGACCCAACTTCTCCATATATAGCGTCATCGTCATGGTCATCATTTCGCAGATTATCTCTGAAACATTTCATTTCACTCGATTTACTTCCTTTCGGACCAACACTCTTTAATTGGCATTTTAGTGCCGTAAACAAATTTCTCGCTGCCTTCGAACGATCAAATGTCATCATTTCTTCTCGCCACCTCATAAAAACGCGTTGTGTGTGAATGTATTTGAAAGTTTTTCACGGCCTTTAACAATGCTCAATATAATATGGTAATGCTTTTGCCATTTTCTCGGCTATAATAATTTTGCACATCCGACTGAAGATGTTTCCCATGAAGCTTACAGGGAAATGATGTTAACAACATATTTAATGATTTGGGCTAAAATTATCTTTAAATTTTAGGTTCTTTAACTCACAGTACAATTATTAAGCTTTGAACTTTAAAAAATTAAATGAATAACATTTGGTTTGGTAGTTAAGGCAAATCAGAAAAATTTGTTAACTGCTTTTAGGACTACTTAAAAGTTATAAATTATTTAATAACGGTGTGGTGTTATTTTTTGGTCTATAGGTAAATTTTGTATAAAATAGGTTCCTTCAATACGTCTGAATTAAACGATCTAATTAAATAAATCTATTTCTTTGTAATATAAGAAACCTGAAGAGTGCCTAATTGTTTTTTGAAAACTAATTGTATTTTCTTAAATTTACCCTAACTAAACGGCTTTTCAATAACTCTTGCAACCTCAACAGCGATATTGGAAATAGGAAATAGATGAATGGATCTCATCACACAATCTAAATTGGACCTCGCCTTATGAGAACTTCATTGAACGGTCTGTAGTCCATTCGATTCGTCACTTCTTCGCTTTATTTCGTGTTCTTCGCCTAATGATCTCTTTGCAGCCGCGATTTTTTTACTGGGGCTCTGGAACAGGGACTGGCTGTATCAACCTGTCCGGCTTTTTGGCCACTCACTAGCCTCCAAACGTTTAATTAATGATCTGTTGTTTCTGTTTCGGGCGCTTCTTTTACGCCCATCTGCCACCGCACTCCCAACAACTCCAACCGACGGACCGACCGACCGTCGACTTCTATTTAAAATTAAATTAACCTGCTTAATTTGCCCCCACCCCTTGCTACTCCTCCTCTACACGAGACGCGCCCAAAACATTCACTCCAAAACGGGGGGAAAAAAAAAATCGAAAGGCGCTACTAATCGCCTCAATGCCTATGGATTCAATGTATCTGCATCTGGCGGATACATTTGGCCGATTTCCGTGCATTTAACGCATAAACGCCTTTGGACAGTTTTATTCCGTTCGGGGATTATCATTATCGCCGCTGCTACCCTTTCGCCCTTCACCATTTCGACTCGATTTTGATCGCTCAATTAGCGTAAAAGTAACATGTCAAACCTATTAATCACTTTCGAAAAAAAAACCACTCTTCTTGGGCTAAAGAAACAATCGAATTTATAGAAAATACATTCCATAATTTTATTTTTTTGCTGTGGTGGGCCAATAGTGCGTGAATTTAGGCGTAGCCAAAAGGGAAAAATTATATAATTTATTTTTTCTTTTGATTGCCAAATTAAAAAGTGTGTCTGTGTGGCGAACAACTCTATTTCGCTCGCCCCGTCTTTTTGGCCTGGCTAAATCTTAATGCTGCCAACAAAATCGCTGCGTCATTACTCGAACTTCAATTTCATTCATTCATCAATTACAATACAAGAAAAATACAGTTTCGAGCGGTGGAAGCCTTGAATCTTTCGGATACGTGTCGCTGTGGCTCTGTGGATCGAGGCAGAGAAAAATAGAAACTAAAATTCATCTATCAATTTTGTTGCTGGTAAATGTTCCTCAGTTGACATTAAGTCTAATATTTGTTGATCCTGTGATGGTGCTTATTGTAATCAATTAAATTAAGCTATACTGGTTCATTAGAGTTTAAGAACGCATTTGCTTAGATGATTGGTGGTAACTGTGGTTGATGCCTTAGTTATTTTTGTTATACATAGGTTATATTATAACCAGGTTGATTAAAGTAAAAAAAAAGAAATAAATAAATTGATAAGAATTTGACAAACTAGTCAGTCCGCGGTGCTACAGAAATATTATACAAAGGTATTCAAAACTAAATTAGCTTTAAAGCATTATCTACTAGCGTTTTTTGAGTGACTGATTAAAATATAAGAAGATGAATTTTGCTTTTTCACGAAATGTTATATGGCCATAATTAGCATACACTTTAACATTATAAAGTTACAATATAAAGTATGTTTAGTTTTGTTTAATGCGTTACAGGAAATAGTTAATCATTTAAGAATTGTTACTGTATTTTGGTCAGTTTTAAAACCCGTTTTTCAAATCAATATATTATATCTAATAGTTTAACAAAATAAGTTTGTTTTTCCATTATCAATTTTATTTATTGGTTTTTATGCAATTTTTATGATGCAAGTCCTACTTGCTTAGTTTCTGTTTCTATATATCATAAAATAAATTTCCTACTTACATGCTTGATTTTTCTGATCGCTTTGGTAGCATCGATTTGCCAGCCTCTTCTAGTTGGTTGAGCAGCTTTGCTCTAATTGCACAACTTGTTGTTGTGGCTGTGTTTGCTGCTGCTGTAGTTGTTGGTATAAAATCCGCACGGATATCCGTTGGCCGCTGGCAGGAAGAAATCACCATTTGAGCACCGTTTGGCTATTGCAGCGTTTTTTTTCCTCTCTCGGCCTTACGGATGTTGATAACTCGTCTGGCATTGGCTGCTATACAAATTTGATCTTCTGGTTGCTATAGTTGTTGCTTCAGCTGGCTGTTGTTGTTGCTGTTGCTGTAGAGCGTAAGTCATCCTGTGATCGGGCCAAGACATAAGATATATTGCATATATCCAGCCAAGATATCCGACGGCGCGTGGGAACTTAAGTTGCGATTGTATTTTTCCAAATGGATTTGAAATTTCAATGGAAAGTATTTAAACAGTTCGTTTAGAGGGACATTTATACGTCTAAAGTTTTATAAAGTTATTGGGTCTTTTATTTAAAACACATAAATGTTGTTTATGCTTTTGTTGCAGGAATTAGGCTTTGTACAATTTTCCTAGCATTGAAATGTTAGGAAAAATGAAAGGTTTTAATAAATTATTGTATTTAACACTTGTAGATTTATGGTATTTAGGAGCTTTAGTTGTACGTATATACGAGGGAAATTGCCACTTTGAGATATATATTTAACTGATATTTTTACACTTTTTACAATCACTCGCGCTGGCCAGTGTGGTCTGATTTATGATACAAGTTGTGTAAAATTACTTTTTTTTTATTATATTTCTCTATTTAATTAGGTTTAATTGGCGAGCAGTTCTCCCCGGAGTTGACATCGATCCCCGGCCAAGCCGCTTCGGTTTCGATCCAATCTCTCCGCACTTCCCAGTCGTTTCAGTTTCCTCTCGACGATCGCTCGGCCCGGGCTATAATCTTTTCAATTTTATAATTTCATTATGGATTGTCTGTTTAATGTCTGCCCATAATCATCAGCCTGCTCACATGTCTCAGTGGCATTTGTTGTTGATTTCCGTGCTGCTCGGCTCACTTTGCATTTACGCGCTGTCACAATTTGCATTAATTGGACCTAAGCGGGTAGTTATCATTGATTTAGCACCGATCTCGGGTATATATATAGGCCATAGATATGCATCTCTCTGTGCACCTGGGAGTGTGAGTGCTTTAATATCACATCATCTACTGGGCGTAGTCCATAAAATTCCTTGGTAATTTGTGATTTGATTTGTGTAAGCATAAATTCTTATATTTATGGAAGATTTACGGAAAAGTTTAAGAGATTTATTGTCTATAGGAAGATTGCAGTTTGGGGGATAGTTTCCTGTTTTTTTGTTTTTTTTTTTTCGTTGTTGTTTTCGTGTCTAGGATGAAAGTGAGGAATTCACACAGTTAGGTATTTGATTTTCATTTTTAATTTACACATTTTATATTTTGTATATTTTTTCAGGATTTATCCTTGCTTGATCCTCTTCACTTCACTGAACGGTAACGCTTCATTTTGAATGTTTTACCGTTATCACCGATCGCATGGCGTTACGTCTCGACCGCTTACGTTAGTGGATCTCTTCTGCTCAGCGTTACGTGCTGCTGTTTTTCCGACAAAAGCGACAACACGACCAATAGCTTTGAGACCGTCTCACGGACTGATGATAGACCCAGTCGCAGCCGCAGCTTCAGTTTTCGATTTCCTAATAACGAAAAGCTGAAAAAAAAGAGCAGCACAGAAACATAACAGAAGGAAAAAAAAAACGCAAAATAGACGACGTCTTCGGCGAGTGTATGGGTGCTCTGAATGAATATACAACGATCGCCGATCCCCGATCCCCAGGTGATGATTCCACCACACGAGACTCACAATCCACACGTCGGCAGCGACGTCGACTGCGAAGCCGGCAGAGACGCCAGCCGAGGCAGCGACGCCGGCAGAGGCCGAGTCCGAGGCAACGATGCAATAAATCGAAGCTAATACACTTCTTTCTTAATGTAGAGCGATTCAGCGAACGTGCTTACACAGATACAAACACCAACACTAACACACATCTCAAATCGCTGGCCTAGACGAGTTTGGAACGGTAAATGAGGGGCCGCCAGCCGAGCGATCCGCGAGATGCATCCTGCCTCGTTTTACTCAATGAAAATTCCAAAAGCGCTAGACCTGCATCCAAAAACTGGGTGGAGATCTTCCGCCCCAGCGACGAACAGAGAGCCGAGCTGAAAAGCCGAACACGAACCGATCTCCGCGTCGTCGCTCCACTTGGGATCCACAAACTCTAAGATACAGTATCTGAAAAGTGAGCGTGAAGCAGTCGCCGCTGGAAGCTCGACCGGGCCACTAGCGGACAGCATTCTAGTAATTGGGGAAGAGAGAGGTGCACGGAAAGAAATAGATTTTACAGCTAAAGGGGACATATTTTTAGAAAAAAGTACCTGTATATTATAATATGTTTTAAAATTATATTAATATTATTTTAAGAAAGACTTCTTGAAAATGTTTTTAAAGATTAGTTTTCCTTAAGTAGTTTTAGGATACTCTTTAGGTTTGGTTATCTATCAAACAATCCATTTTAAGAGAAATATTAAACTCGTTCTAAACCTAAAATAAATCGTTAATCGTTAACTATTCACGTGATAATACACACGTCCCCGAATTTCATAAAAAATAATACAATATTTTGTTTTAAGTTTTCCAATTCTAACATGATTTTATGTCATTAATATAAAAAGCAACAATTCAAAGAGATGCGTAAGAACAAAGAGTCCTGTTAAAGCTTAATAAAACTAATCCAAAAATTAATAATCATATTTTATGTTGTTCTTTTGTAATACAAAAAATAACTAGAGTTATTATGCCATCTTTTTTCTGTGTGCAAACTCAGTGGGGGAATGGGAAAGTTCAACGGGTTCTTTCACTGATCGCAGTTTAACATACGGTCAGAGAAGGGTCTCTAGACTTAAACTTGTGTGTCCTACTTGGCACGAGACTGGAATCGGGCATTTTCAATGTCCATGTCCATGTTCAAGACCATGTCATGTGCCTTCTTCTTGGCCACTTCACACAGCTGCAACTGCAACTGCAATTGCAACTGCAGCAGCAGCAGCAGTAACTGCAGCTCTTGATGTTGCTGCGGTGCCTGGCTGTTGTTGCTGCTGTGCTGTTGCTGTGCTCTACTGTTGCTGTTGCACGAAATCGATCAAATCAAAAATGACTTTGTGAAGTGACTAACTGCCTAACTGCCAGCTGCCGTTGCTAGTTGCTGTTGCAAGTTGCTGATGCTGCTGCTGCTGCTGCTGCTGTTGCTGCTGTTGCTGCTCTTGCTGTCTAACAGTAGCTTGGCTGCTTTGATTTTTTGGCGCAAGTCCAAGTCCAAGTCGATGGACATACAACACTTCAAAATGAAAGCACATTCCCTTGTAGAAATTTTACCGTTACAGGTACAGCGCACCCCATGCACATCAGGTCGTTTGTCCGCTGTCCATTTGTCCACTGCTTTTCCCCACTGCCATCGCCATCATCATCATGCTGATGATCGGCCAACACTTGGCAGCTTTATGGCTCAGATATTTGCAAATCTCCAGGTTCCGCAGCATCTTGAGCTGAGTTGAGTTGAGCTGTGCTGAGCTGAGCTGTGTTATTGTTATTGTTATTGTAGCTGTTCTCCTCTTGTTATTCTAGCTGATGATCTGCCATCATCTTCTGGACGAGAGGAAGCCACGAAGGCCGAGATCTCTTCAGCCGCGTGCCACGCTCGTTGGTTATTTATTTGAGTCAATGAGTTCACAACTATTTTTCTATTTTTCTATTTTTCCTTAATGGCTTTTTCTTTCCACCCGCCCCATCAAGCCCCTGACTTTTCCTCTTTTTTTCGTGGAAGGAAGCGCCTTGTTGTCTTCGCTTGATTGATGGTTTGATAATATGAAGTCGGTTGAGCTGCATTTTGGCCTCTTGCGGAGCAAAGGATTGTTATGATGGTCAGTGCTGCAAATGAGTTCAATTGAAGATTATCTCTTATTAATTAGCGTGGCGGGGGAATGTGGGTCAGCGCTGGAATTCGATGGGTTGATTGGGGCATCCTTTGTGCAGTGATTGGGATTGGGTGGTGGAATGTGCAGGTGATTGACATTGGAATGTTGGATCTTTGAGTTTGGGTGAGTGTTTGATACAGGTTAAGCAAAGAATAAATAAAGTGGCCTGATTAATCAATAGTTATTTACTTTATTTCATGAGTAAAAGTCAACAGTTATTTATAAAATCTTGAGGCAGCTTAAATAAAGATGTTGCTAAGATGTTTCTCCTTCAATGTAACTCCAAGTATATGATGTAACTTTTGGAGGTTTAAAGTTAAATAATGTTGGTATGCCATATTTGTTGGTATATATAGACAAATCCCTATTGCTTATGATTAGTAATAGTAATAACTACCATTAAAATTTATGGAGTAATATACAAAAAATTAAATAAAACTAAAATAAAAAGATCATATTAATAACTTTAAAAAAAAAAATGGCTTCATATAGCCGCTCATCTTAATAAAATTCTTTAAAATAACTCCACGTTCTGTAACACCAATAAATATCGAATTAAAGGAATGCTGTATATACAAATTCATCTACTACACCTTGAGTAAATACTCCAAGTTGATCTCCTCATAGTTAAGTAATTAATTGCTTAGTTTTTTTTCTACTAACTCTCATCGATACCGTGTTATTGGATCGATGATCGCCATGCTCCGAACCTTGTCAACACAAATCATGTTCTATGGAGTGAAGAATTTCCTGATTAACTAACTTTGCCCCGGGAATCGGTACACCAATTGACAACCAAGCAGGTACATAAATACCAACATATTTATAAATACCGCATAGCTTCGATTGGGAGCCATATAGGAAATTAGCTTGAGGCCAGTCGATTCCCATAAGTCAGGCACGATGCCATGGAGATTATGCATAATTAAAATGTTCAGATACAATAATTAGCTATAAGCAAATACACTTGCAAAGTGCCGCTGTTAAATGACTAAATAAACGTTTAGTTTATGGCTTATACCTTTTAACTAAACGAGACAACAGCAGTGAAGTCAAATAAACAATTTGATAAATTTATGCGAACTGCGACGAAAATAAAAGCGGAGAAATAATAAAAGCGAAAATCGGGCTGCGAAATGAGCCAACCAAAAGCGCAACATTTAGGAGAGCTTTAACACCTCGGCGCCCCCACCGCCTACCCCTTTCCCCCCCCCGTTAACCCTTCAACGGCAGCTGCTGCACATAATTGGCCCGCAACGGAACAAAACAACAACATGGAGCGATCGTAAACATTTATTTTTCATACAGTTGTTGGTTGGGTGCCGTTGTGCAGGTGTGTATTCCAGTGTGTTTGCGAGTGTGTGTGTGTGTGTGGAAGACCCGCCCGCCTTTGGACCGCCGATGGTGTTGTTGTTGCTGCCGCTGGCGAGTTTTTGTTTAAACGTTTTCAAATCGCACAGCGAATGAAAACGAAAGAAAAAATGAAACACATCGAAAGTGAGCATATAACGAAGCGCTGCCCGGCGATGTTGTCGACGTATCAGAGCGCTCGTAATGCCCCGATCCGATCCCCCAGTACGTATACGTACTCGTACTGCCCCCCGTCCGATCCCCTATCCACTATTTCCGAGAGACTTTGCATGGCCGGTCGACCGGCCGACGACCATCGCATGGCATCGGGCCATGGAATGGGCATCGCAATCGTACACTCAGCGGGAAATATTTGATATCTAGAACGACTTAGTTATGTCCGAAAAATTCTTATATTTGTGTAGACAGGATATTATTTTCAAATTTGGGTAGTCTACAAAGTATTTTAAAATACAAAAATAGTTCAGCCTAATTATAAATTAAAGTAGGAATATTTTATTTTCCTTAAGCTGCTTATTTATTCCTTTTTTCAAAACTATTTTTATTAAATTAATACGGTTAGGATACAAATTGGCTATTTAAAACTTAAATTAGAAATGATTTTTTCTTCGTGCATAGAGTTTTGCGCTATATGCGCTAGTGACCACCATCGTTGTCGGTTCCACATTGCACCACTGGGCTTTTAATGGGGAGAGTGTGCCCCACCAGAGGAGATTCAGTTGGGTGGCTATCGGCGAGGAATGCGGAATGGAGGCGAGGAGACGAGCCATAACGAACATGGCTATCTATACAGCCCCCAACACTTTTAACTTTAATGGAAACTCAAGAAAACATGCTGGCAATGCAATTTCGGTTTATTTGGTACAATTTAATGTATTCAAGATTATGCAAAAACTTTTCATTCATAAAATTTTTAACTTTTGTTCATAAGGAATTTTATATTTGAGAAACGCGGTTTAAAAACTAGGTTTTACATAGGTTTAACTAATAAGTATTGGTTTTAAGGGTAGAAAAATATTTTATTCTTAATCAGCTACTTACTTAGATGGTTGTCTGTAAAAATTACTTTTATTTATATTAATTAATTATATTTAATTAACAGCTGCCAAACATTCATAAAAATAACTAGATAAAGGTGTCCTGTTTTGGTATATCAAGTTTCTCTTGCAAATAAAAATGCTCTATTTATTCGATTAGCAATTCCTCACATTATGAAGAGTATTCATTGTATTCATTGGCAAAACCATTTTTCGTACGTATTATTCTATTCTTCTTGTTAAACACGAGCTATCTGTTTCTGCAGATCTGTGGCACTCTTTATGTACACAAAAACACTAAGAATACACACACACACGGCGCACAACAACGAGCATTCCACAATTGGCTCATTTAAGAATCGTTTGCTGCGTATCCAGAGACCTTCCCCTGTTTTCCAGATACAGATACATTCGGAGCTACGAATACAGATACAAAGGCGAATTGTGGCCGTTGTTTGTCGTCGTGTTGTCGTCGTTCGTTTCTAATTATACGATAGGAGCGCTATGAGCCATGAAACGTGCGGGGTCTGACCTTCTCGCAGAGCCTGCCTTCGAGTATATTGTATAGGTATATTGTATATTGTATCTGGGCCTGGGCCTGCATCTGTATCTGAGCCTCCGAATGGAGTTTGGCTGCCTTATACTCGCAGGCGATTATTAAATTTTCAGCGTTTGCCCGGCAAAAGGCTTCTGTGGTAGCAGTTGTTATTAACTCGGCCGCCTTTGCTTCTTACATATTTAATTTTTTGGGGGCCAGGCCTTTGATTTCTTGGGCGGGCCGGGACACTTGGACTAATGCTTTTGGCCACAGCCCAATTCAATGGCCAACCTATTGGCCTTAATACCTGATGACCAAGCCAAGTCCATCTGTCTTTTTTAGAACTCGTTTAATTGATAACTATTAAACGAGATTAAATACTGACTAATAGGTTTATATTATAAAGAGAAAACCTTCTACTAACAGCATTAATTTAGCAGTCTATTCATTTAGATTTTTTATATTTTAAGTCCAACATTTGTGTGGCTTGTCCATATACTTAAATAATTGGTTTAAAATTTATCCGAAATCACCATATTTAATTTATTAATTATTATAGGGCATTTGTCATAAATATTTATATATATATACATTATATATCTTGTTTATTTACTTAACTTAACTTTTTACACCTATCACCTTTACCTTTCTATGCCTATTCATATAATTTCACAATTTACCTCTGACAATTCTTCATTCAATTGCTTTCCCATCGATCCATCTTTACCCATGTCACCATTTGCCGTTCCCCCACAATCCTCCGCTGAAGATTAACCCAAGTGCGCGACAAAAAAACCGAAATCTGATATATTTGTCTAACATCTTCGGCATTAAGCTCACCTTCAGCCCCCCGCCCCAAAAAAAAAACGCGAGATTTCCGCATTAGAAACGATTTTTTAATTATTATTTTCAGACGCCTACACGCAAAACCGAAACTCGATGGCTTCGAGTGGATGCTCTGCTCAAATGTCAGGCTTATTAATACAACAGCCCCAACAGATCTCTCGACTCAAGTGCCGGGGATTTGTGGCTGAGGTTCGAGATGCGAGATGCGAGATGCGGGATTCGAGATCGAGTTGAGGACGCTGTGCATCTCTATGTGGGAGTGCGGGCACCATTGATGACACGTCATTTGCTGGCATAGACATCTTCGTCAAATGTGTTAAGTTGCGCTAAGAGGGAAAACAGGTCTTCCAGTTCAACGGCCATAGTGTCAGTAAAATGTCATGGAAAGCCACTTAGCTGGGAGTTTAGTTTTCGTTTTTTTTTTCGTTTTTTATTTTCCCGATTATTCTGAATTGGATTCACAGCCACAGCCTTCCCACATCCGCTAACAAAAAACAAAAAAAAAATATGTGAAACCGAAATCTAAGAAGTTGCGATCAAACATTTGTCAATTTTCCTGCCCGGAGGTTGGTATTTGGCTTTGGTGCGATTGGTTCTTGCTCGCGGGCAATGCTCAATTACGGTTTTGATTTAAATCAGTCTACTGACCCCAAAAGTTCAGCTACGGAAATTGCAAATTTAATAATTGACTAGCTCAGAAAACTGTAAAACCCAAACCAGGGGGCTTATTAATGCGATAACCTTGGCTGATTTAATTTCTGCCGTCTGTTCGCCGGGCCTGTGATTATCCAGCAGCAAGATACAAGACGAAAAAACACAAGAAAACCAGCGACTTCCATAACAACAAAAGGAAAATCAAAACTTGCACAATTTCGACACTAAACGACGATGTCTGGGCCACTCTTCGAGTGCCTCCGAGCTGCCAGTTAGTCGCATATTTAATTAAGAGATTGAGTAGCGCAAATAGTGTTGAACAATGGCCAGCACGAGTCGCCTCTACACTGCGAGAAATTTCTAGCTGCAATCATCGGCGGGCAATGTGGGCTTAGTGGCGGTATAATCGACATCATCGCCGGACGTTGTGGTTTCATCATAACTTTCGATTGAAGTTATGGTTTCAGAGGTGGTGTCAGCATTGCCGAAGTCACTGTTCTTTTTGGTATAGAAATCGGCATATTCTCCAAGTGATTCATTTGGATCATCATCGTCTCCTTTTAGGGGCACCTCTACGAAATCGAACTCATTAAAGCAACTCTCGTCCAGATCGGCCAGGAATATGGTACCCTTGGGAGCATTTTCTCTTTGATGAAAGGGTTCGCTGCTCGGATTGTAGCTAAATTCGTAGGCGGAGAAGATGACACGACGATGGAAGGGTTCCGGAATGCAGTATCTCAATATCCAGTCCTTGATTTTGTTTATATTCTCCCGCTGACCTTCCATCACCCCAAAAGCTCGTTTCCCATCAAGGGTGTTTATTATATAACCGGCTATCTTCAAACGTTGACAGCGGTGGACTATTCGACTCTGAAAATTATTCGCCGGCATTATGTTGTACAACTTAAACTCGGTCTTCACCACAATATCCGAATAGAACATCCAATCATGGGGAATAATATAAGTTTCACTGTTCATTATAATGTTAATAAATACTAATAAAATATATGCTAAAGTATGAAAATATTGAAACAGTTAAATTTATTAATTTTGGCTAGTCGTTTCAGTTTTATGTTTGTAAAATTTGTATAAAATGAAGGGTAATGCAAAGCATGAATAATATAATTATTTATATCAAAGGTTTTCACGTTAAAATGTTATGAAAGTTCTGTAAAAAAAAATAATGATAAGCTTTGTCATAATCATAAAGAAGTTTTATTTCGATATTAGGTAAGGTATTTATAACAAACTTATGAACAATAATGATTTTTAAAATAGTCACCATGGCATTATATTTTATTCTTTTGAAATATCTGAGTATCTCAGTAACTAGTTTTCTTAACTCTACAAAATAAAGACACATAAAAAATGTCTTTGGAACTGGTGCCCTGTGCTGAACCGGAGAAGATCTACCTAATTACCTATGAGATGAGCGTGCCTGAAGATTCCGACGAGGCCCTGCTCTCAGTTGTGGCACACAAAGCCACCGAATTGAAGGTGTGTGGCTACATCGCGTATACGCACTGTGGCCTCAAGGTGGGCGGCGAACTGGAGGGCGGTGAGGCCGGGCTACAACTGATGATCGAGTGGCTCCTGGCCAAGAGCCAAGGCAATGAACTGGGGGACGGGGACAAGATCAAAAGCCAGATGACGGAGCCACGATTCTCAGAGTGGAAGCTGCAATCAGGGGCCAAATACGGTGATTTTTTCTGCTGTTGAGTGCTGCCAAGAGGAGTTGAGGAGTTGATTAAAAATCGCAAATTACATTGGCCCCAGAATATTGTTTCGAGTGCATTTTCATCTCATAAACCATAACAATCAGTGTCGGCTGCTGCTGCTGCTGCTGCTGATGCAGTTCGTTGGGCCATTGAACAATAGCCCGGCTGACTCGAAGCTGACTTTTCAAAGTCAAAAACGCGATTGTATCATCAGTACTTTTCGGGGCGCGCTCTCTGCCTCTGATATTTTTTCTTTTAGTTTCGTTTTTAGATTTTTTCCGCTCGGCACTCGCAGATAAAGTTGAGGAGGCCGAGTTGCGGCGAAAAACAATCGAATCAATTCATTTTTCTAGGGCGTACTGTGCCACTTGAACGTTGAACTGCAGACGCCCCAATGCTGACTACCGCTGAGGTTTCGCTTTTGGTTTTCCATCTCCTCCGGAGTTGGCCATTGTCTTCGAAGACGGCAGCTCGGTCTTGATCGTGCCCCGGCACCAGTCATTTTAATTTTTCAAGAGTTTTCCGAGCTCTGTGCTTCTGCGCATTTCGCAATCTGAACTCTATAAATCTCTCGTGCCGGTGTGTTAGATTTATGGGTTATGGGCCAAATGGGAGCGGGCCAAGCCAAATGTTCTATGGGCCCCGAAAATACAAAAAACGGCCGCCCCAAAATCCGCTATCCGCGATCCGGGCGATTCAATTAGATCTAAACGCTGTCAACATCCAGGCACTAATAACCCACAACAGTTCGGGAGAGGGGATGCAAAAAAAAAAATAATAAATAAAGGCGAAATACAAAAAAAAAATAGAAATAAAACCAAGAGTGTCGTCTGGTCTGTGTCTGTGGCATAATGTTGCATAATATTTTATGCATGCAGAGCTGGCAGATTGCAACATGTTGCCATGTTGCAGCTCCGGCTTCGACGCCGGCTCCGCTGATGATGATGATGATGCATAGCCCCAAGAATCGCTGAGACAGCCTTAGCCAAGCGCTGTGGCGCCCCTCCCTGAAAATCTGGAAATCTGGATATCTGGCAATCTGAAAATCCTGAAAACCTTTGCAGACATCCAGCTGTGTGTGCCCCGCGCTCAAAGTGTGTCGAATATTCAAGTGAAAATTTCGCCCCAGCCCCGAAGACCCGCTGCGATCTATCGCAGAGTCCTCCGGAGTGCGGCGCTTCGATGACGTTGAGCTTGGATTTGAATTTGGATGTGGCCATGTGTTGGTGTTTCTCAGCCCATGCATGCATGCCACATGTATCTACACAGAGATAAAAACCAAGGCCTAATTGGCATATCAATACGAGTATTTAAGGTTAATGAATAACTTTTGTGAACCTTACATTTAGTGTGTGATAATTAAAGGAATAGAATAATTTGATTTACATTTACTAACATTTAAATGTTTGGTCCTTGCCATACTGACTTAAAAAGTACAATCTTGATTTTTTTAATAAATTTAACAAACACAAGATGACAAAGAAGAATGTCAAAATATTTATTATTTTGTTGCATTTCCTATGCCTTCTCAACATTATAATATTTAATATTGACTAAAAAACTAAATATATAAAAGTATAACTTTTACCATAACATTTAATATGAAATTCTGACTTCAAAGGCTTAATCCTGATTTCAAAAATATGTTGAACAAATGACGATGTATGTATAAGCTAAATTAATTTTTTTTTAATAATAGCACTTAAAAAATATCATGGAAATGCAATAAAGTTGTGATCAATTTTATGTGTTCTATTTTCTCTGCATGTGCATCTCTCGGGAATGGAATATCGCCACTTTTCTGAGGCTCCATAGGTGGGTAGCTCAGAGTCTCGGTCTCCGGTGTTTTTCGCTGGGTCTTGGTCTGGTATTTGATTAGACGGCAAAAGGCGACGGCGGCAAACTTGATCGCGTTGCTGCTGTTGTTGTTTCTATTTTTTTTTTTTGCTTTTGCTGTTGGCCGATGTTGTTGCTCTGGCTCTTTAAGTCGAACAATTACATTTTAAGCGTAGCACAACCTTGGATACCGTTATATTTTTGCAGTTGGTTGGGCGTGTGTTTAGCGAATTACCCAACAGACATTTGCAGCTGAATTAATGGCTTAGGTGATGGCTAGAAATTGGGGCTAGAAGAAAAATTCAATAAATTTCTTTTAGAAAATCAATAAAATTGTTTTCTTCAAATAGTTACTTATAATTTCAATAAATGAAATAAATAAAACTTTAGTTGAAAGTAAAATAATTTAAATAAATATTTGTAGTTTTTGTGATACTTCCATTTTCGTAAGAAATCAAAAAGTCTGCTTCCAAACAAATAAAACACATAAATAACTGATTTTAAAACCATCTTTGATAAATATCTTTAAATTCTGCCATATATAAATCCATTTATTTTCAAATTAAACAACACCTAATCGCTTATAGTCAAGCTAAAATAACTCTTCTTCAACCTCATTTCTGCCAACTTAGTCCATTTCCTCCTCAAAGACTCCCAAATAGGGAGGCCCGAAAAAAGCCTTTGCTCCCGCAAAATGTTGATTTGGTTATGGGCCGCAGACACCGCACCGCTGGGCTAAACACGACTCGGCAATCTGCAAACGTCGCAGCGTTCGACAGTCGACAGTCGCCCCGATCGGCCAGTCAGTCTCCGAATCTTGGCTGAAATCCAGGCCCAGGTTCAGAGCAAAAGAGCCAAGACCGAGGACCGGAGACCGGAGACCGAGGAGACTATAGACTGAAGACCAGACCTGGCCAAAAGCGAGTCGACCACACCCGCACACTTCATTATTTTTATGTCGCCTGTGGTGGTACGATTTAAACGACAAACGCGGCAGCCGGCGAGCAGACGTTGGCGAATGGATCGCAAGACTTTGGAGCCAGACGTTGGAGACCGTGGCACGACATCCACCGAGAACTCCCCTTGCTCGCTAAAGCCTGGCCAAAAGACAGAAATAAACCCACAAAAAAATAGGCACAAAAAGAGCCAAAAGCAAGCCAAGAAATTAGACGCATTCGACGTTTTGGAACGAGCGACAAGTCAAAGTAGCAAAAGACCAGGCACAAGCTAAGAGCTCCCTATCCCTCTACCTCTTCCCCTTCCCCAGCCCCCTCCCACCATCTCTTACTGTTTTGGTTATGGCCATCTCTTTCTGCAACTCCGGGCACGTTGCTCCTTTTTGGAGCCAGGGCACATCTCATGTTGATGTTACATTTGCTGCTCCGTTCATTGGATTTTTGGTTTTTTCTTTATTTTTTTGCGATCGTGCGCCAGTTCAAATGTGCCTAGTGGGTTTGGAAATTTGTAGCGCCCAAAAAAGCAACAACAACAATAGTCAGTACAACGGCAACAACAATTACCCACAATTACAACAATAACGAATCAGCAACAACAACAACCACAACAACGCTGCCAAAGGAAACTTCGTTAGTGGCCAGAAAGATATTCAATGTGGTGCTTCAAAGATGCACTAAGAAAAATAGGTTATAGGGTGAAATAATATGGATAGTTTATTAGGGAAAACCCTAATTCTAGCTTTTCAATAGATTTGATTAAGTGCCTATCTTATATTTGATTCCACTTATGATAAGTTATAATGAATACAAATTTATTCCTACCTTTTCATGCAACGAACATTCTTTGAACGATAATATTTGTAAATCCTTTATTTTTAAAAATGAAAGTATTCTTCTTTATTATAATTCTTTATATTTGCTCAGCTCTTTATTTTTCCAGGTGTACGATCTTCGGTTACAGCTTGAGCTTCAGCCAGAGTTCCTAAAGGTTCCAACTTGAGGGAGTTAGTGTGCGGGGAGCCGGTGTAATTTATCTTGATGTTTAAATCAATAATAACGCCGTCAGTGTGCGTTTGCTTTTAGCGACTTTTGATCGCTTCACCAGCCAAAACTGTTGGCTGCCAAAATACAAAAAAAAAAATCACCAAAGCCGGCAAAAGTCAGTCAGGGAGTCACAGAGTCAGTCAGTCAGTCACTCCATCGATATTTTAATAGATGTTGCTGCCGCGCGATTATTGTTATTATTACTGTGGGGAATTTCAATATGCGGCCGCCGTTTGCGCAGATTATTAAGGCACGAACAGGAAAATTACGTCGATGACGACGACGCGACATGGAGTGTTTTCATAATTATTGCCATAGGCTTTTGATCTGGTTTCGTTCTGGCCACAATCGAGTGTGTGAGTGTTGTGTGTTGTTGGCATGCCGCCCCAGTAGGCCGCGTTTTGGAGACACGACGGTTCTGGTCTGGCGTCTACGCCTATTCGTCTGCTGATCTCTACGAGCTTTGCTTCAGATTTTCCTATTTTTCTTCTATTTATTTTGTTTTTTTTTCTTTTTTCGTCCATTGTTCAGTCAGTTTGGCTGAAGAGCTGCAACTGCCTGAGGTTTCTGTATTTAGTTGTGGGCCGAATTGTTTCGTAATTGTAAAATATGTTGTTATGCTTTAACTTGTTGTTGCTGCCGCTGCAATGCGATGCGATGCGACAAATGTGTGTACAGTTAGCCGAGGGCTGAGTGGCATCTGCGGAAAATGCGGGGGCGGCGTAATGGAGGGGGCGTGGAACATGCACTGGAAATTTTCACTTCGATTTGATCTGGGAAAGGCAATGTTCCGATTGTGCCGAGGAATTTGACATCGTTTGGATGAGTAACGACTGGAGGAGATTCGTTGTAAGACCTTAATTATTGCTAAACTGATTTTGTTGGGCTCATTTAATTTCACTCGAGATCCTTAAGGGGGTTGATAATAAAAATGTATTTATTTATCAACTCATCCATAATATTCATTATCATGGAAAGCAAATTAAACTCTTTTGGTTTAAAAACAATCTTTTGTTGTAATATATGCATGGCTTATCCTTGTCAATAAATCAGGTTTCCAAAGTGTATATAAAATATACTGAGTTCTTCGAATGTAGTTTTTATAGTTTGGAAAATAAAAATTGTTTGTTAAATATCAATTTTTAATATATTTTCATTTTGGGACTCTTTTAATTCTGTATTTTATTTTGAACAATATGATATATACCCGTAGATAGTTTG